CATACTCGTCTGACATACTTTTTGGTTCAAATCAGCTTCTAATTTAAATATACAGCTGCCACAGGAATGATGAAGGGAATACTGAAGATAATTTATAACTGAAGTTTTAAGAAGAAATTGCTCTGAACCATAGTCATGTTGTAACTCGAGATGTTCATATATACTTTCCAAATAGCAAAAACATTTCTTATTCAAGATTGATAAGCCTACTGGCAAATAGCTAAACCTATTAGATATAAGGAACATGTGACTGTACTCATCAGGAAACATTCAACTTTATCACCTTCAGTATCGCGTACATGTCAAAATCCTTATCTACATCTTTACAGAGAAAAAAAAATCCTACCCTACATTTTATTTCTGCATCTTTTTTTAAAAGTATGGGTGGTACTTCGAGACATAATGGCTGATATTTCTGAATCAATAGTTCAGGCAGTAAGACACAAAGCTAAAAGGAAAACAAGCATATTTTATGACTAAAGTTTCTGATGAAAATTTTCTGAAATACTGAAATAAGCTTAACTACTAGAGATGAAAAGATTAGCTCCTTTAGGAGTGTCAGTGTTTAATGTGCCTTTCATTGGAAAATGTATATGTTTAACTGCAAAAAGCATATATTTTTCTTACAAAAAAGGTAAGTAAGAGTCATTTTGTATCTCAGCTTATTCTCCTGCTGCTTCATAATGTCATCAGTATGAAGCTGGTGGTATAAACAGTATATTGTCATTCTTCAGCAATAGTCTATTATTTTGAACTCCAGATAGAGATGACTGGTAGTTTTGAAGTAATTCTGCAGTGTAGTCAGCTCTAATGCTGCTGATTAGTCTAATGCTACAGTGGTATAATGCTTTGCAAGAAAACTCCCCAGTAATTCTTGCAGGTTTGAAATTTTGGAAGCATCACATTGGCCCATGATAGCATTAAAATGCAGTCTCTCGCTCTTCTTTTTTTTTCCTCCACTTACTTGCTCAGAATTAATTTCTAAGAGTGAGAATTAATTTCACAATGAGTGAGAGGTCTACGAATGTCTCAGTTCTGGCCTCGTACTTTGAAAAATGTCTACAAATTTGTGCTTAACAGCAAACATTTAAGCCATGCCACCCAGGTCCCATTGAACTATGCAGAAGCAGGGAGCTGGGAGATAAAAATTGCATGCTTGTTGAGACAGAGGTGCACAGTAATTTTATGATCTGCTTTAGGCAGATTACCTTGCAATAGCTTTCCTCAAGGTTACCAAAGCAGAAGGTCAAAAGCTACAAATGCTTCCTTGTATATACACAATTAGTCTCTGCAAATTTTGCACCCAAAGAACACAATAATGTTTCCTGTATCTTGTATACACAAGATATTCCGTTCAGAGTTGGAAAAACAATTTAAACTTTAAATTAATGCAGAAACAAGCAGCAAGTAAGATGGCACTGTTACAGGAGAGAAGCAGTTCAAAAGCGTAATGACACCAAAACTGCAGGAAACACCATGGCACACATTTCAGAACCACATAGTAGCGAGTAACGGAACCATAAAACACAGGGAAAATGGTCCTTTTTTTTTATTTACCTAGGAAAACTAGATTTTACTTGGAAACGTTTGGACTGGTAACCTTTAATCTCTCTAAATCTCTCTGTCTCTTGTTCTAAGCATTAATGAATGTAAACCCAGATAGGTAGTCGTACGGCTAGTATTTATTTCCTTGCGCAAGAGGGTATAGCTGTTTTATATTTTTTGTCTTTTGACTCTAGTAGTCAACTCACCCCTGTTAATGGAAAATTACTGCCTATGATGGGTCTTTTCCAGTCCATGTGTTTTCATCTTGCAGATTGGGACAATGAGTTGACATGCTACAAAGAAGTAAGTGAGGATCTCACATGTACCTGGTTGCCAGTACCCACTGCTCCATATACTGTTACTTATACTGTAATCTTAAAATGGTAAGTCTAAACATCACTTCACAAAATGAAAAGCTGTCACCGCAGTTTGGCCTAACTCCTACCTGCCTGAGTTCTGTCCCGATATATTCATCATGTTGTAGGTTGTTACACCGTAATGGTCAAAATCTTTCCTCAGACCTCACAGATCTATCACGACCTATTGATCTGGTGAGAGCTGCGCTTTCCAAACTGGGGGAAGGGGAAAGATTGAGAAGCGCACCGAGTGCCAAAACAAAACTTGTTAGGTTAGTAGACAGTGCAAGAAACGAAAAGGAATGGAACAGATTCATAGAAAACTCTGAAATAGGTGCATACTGTCAACAATCACTTTGTCTAATCTGAGGAAGAGTGGCTTACCACTTCCTAGTTTCATGAGGGACGACTGGCAAAGCTCCCAAGGACCAAAATGGGAGGACTTCAGGAGTAGCAAATGTGAGTACCTGCCTCTTGCACAGATTCATTAAGCTTTGACCAGCCTGAAACCCCAGTCACCCCTCCTGGTCTTCAAGAAAAGATAACAGAGCAACTGTGTAAATAAATTAGTTGCCGTTTTGTGGAGGAAGGAAATGAGGCCAGTAAACCTGCAGTTTTCTTCACTATCCACTGGAGATATCATGGGGAAGATCTTGCAAAAAAATCCTCAGTAAATCATATTTATCTGAGAAGCAATGATTTCTTCTTTTGATAATTTGCTAGAGCATCATACATCTTGCCACACTTCCAGCACGTCTGTTTGAAATACTATTGTCAAATATCACTTTAATCAATTATTTTTCTCTACTTTTACTGACTCCCATTGAATATTCCACACTCTAATGCATTCCAAGTAAAAACCATGTTAAGCTGTTTTTTTATTATGCATTACATATTATGCTATACATGTATGCAGGGAGGCGTCAAATGCGGCACATAGGAAAAATAAATTTTGAAGTATTTTGTTGCACTGGCAAATTATGATGTTCATTACTGATTATTTTGCCACATAACACATCGCTCTTTGCATTAAAAAGAGCTGTAGTTAGGAGCACCTCCTAATGCTGATGAAATGTCACTACACTGGGAAATTCCCCAGGGTAATCTCCTGCATACTGCAGAGTAGCAAGCAGCCACCGCAGAGCTGTGCTTACTCCCCCACCGGCTTCTGTATTCTCCCACTGGAAAGAGCAGCAGGTGCCTAGTTGCAATAGTACCCCACTGTATTTGCTCTCCTGCCTCTTCAGTCTTCAAAGCCCCGATTTCTTGGAATGGTAAAAGCATCTGTGAAACAGCTCTGCTTCTATAGAGATGCTATCAGCTAAAGTATCTGTTGCTCTTGGAGTCCCCAGCCCAACTCAGTCTGTGCTATTCCTAAGCTGCAGAGTTGACATTATGAACTGCGAAGGCAGAAAAAGAGTGAAAGAGAAGGTGGGTGAAGAGGGAGGCAACTGCATCACAGAAATATTGATTTTCCCAAAGCAGAGACAGGACTTGAACCACAGTCTCCTAGACTTCAGTTCAATGCTCTGAAAGAAAAACTTGTCTCCCTTTTTACTGGGTTTAAAAAAAAACAATAAAGCATGAGAAAAGCCCCTTCAAAGACTAGAAGAGGACGTCACCACTTTCTGCAAGTAACTTCAGTCTGAAATTGAAATTCTTCCTTATTCTTATTCCTTATGATTTGGATGCCAGGAAGAAAAGGATTAAAGAACACTTCTACAGAGATGATCTAACCAAGCATTCAAGATCATGCCCTGCAGTATTAATGGCTGATTCACAGCTAGGCTGAAGCAGAAGATAGGGGGAACCGGCAAGCGATTTTTTTTCCAGTTATTAAATATTGTATCATGATTAGCACATTTAATACTAGAAATATGTGGGTAGGCAATTACTATGCCTAGCATTAAAAAATGCACTCCATTTCTTTCTAAGAACACTGAACTGGCACAGCTTTAGCCTTGAGAAATCTGCTCTGTGTGAGGCAGAGGGTAAATGAGAGAGAGGGAGAAAAGAGACAAGCAGAACAGAAACAGCCTGCCATTTAAGGGCTTTTCCTTAGGGAAACATGACTGAGTGGTGAGGACTCACTAAAGTAAAGCTAAACTTTTTCTCTTTAGATGTTTATTCATTAGCCTCTGTATTCACACATTCTTTGCATTCACATCCTAAGTCCCAGACAGAGTTCCCCAATAGTGGACTTCCCAAGACCACACTTCTGCAGCTACTGGATACACATAGAACATTTTGTAGAACTTCAACTTTCACAGCAGGGAAAAGGAAAAGGCCAAAAGCTCAGCTGGCTTCAGCGAGCCCAGAAACTGGTAGGTTGCCACCGCACAAAGGAATCAGGGGACATATGCACACAGGACTGGTTCCTGCTCCAGTTGTCTCCTCACTCTTAACTGCTCTAGCTGACCCTGCTTTGAGCAGAAGGGTTGGACTAGATGATCGCAAGAGGTCCCTTCCACCCTCAGTGACTCTGTGATTCTGTGAACTCCTATCTGCAGTAAAGGGTTTTAGTCAAAGCACACCACTGTGCCTAACTGACCTCAAATAGCTCTTGGCAGTCAACATACTTTATGGCCATTGGCTTTGTTTGAATTTATGGTAAACATCTGGCCAGCCACTGGTTTGGCTGAGAATCAAGGTAGCACAAAAATATCTTTCAATTGTCTGCTGTGAAGCACATGACAGTTATGAAAATCATTAATATATAAAAGCTTGACTGTCCAGTTAGCATGAGTCGAAGGCACTCTGCAGCAATCTTACAAATGTATTCAGTACTTGGCAGGCTTGCCCTGTACTCGTTCTTGCTGGCTCAGCTTCAGCCATTTCACAAGGCTGCTGAGGGGGAAAAGAAGTATTTGAAGAACTGCAGATACTGTACGCTGATGTGGAGTACAGTTGACCTTGTACAACGAGGCACGAGTAAAGCAGTTGAAGATACCCCTGGAAGAGTATAATTGACATGCATTTGTTCTATTGATATTATTGATACTCTTCAAAACACCCATGTTAGATCAGACAAGTCAAAAGAGACTTCAATTTTTTTGTTTTCATATGTGGAAAAGTGCTCTTCAAGGCAAGTAACTTAGGATGGTAAGAAGAGTACCTGCTTACACACCTCCAGGGTAAGTAAGTACTGCAGTATCTACAGGAGTATAGGGTACAAATGTAAAATCTGGAGAGCAGGATACTTGTCTGGGCGGCCTAACTTTTAATAACCTTCAAGCTGAGCAGAACCTAGAGTTCCCTTCCTAGATGAATGTTGTAACTATGAACACACAGCAACCAGTCACCACACGCACCAGCAACCACTGTTTGTGGATGAAAATAAGGATACCTCCCGGACTTTCTGTACCACGTAGATTACACAGTAGATTACAAAGGACAAGTCTACAGGGATGAGGAGTTTAGGTGGCATTTAAACATCTTTGCCTGCAAAGCATCAGAGTTTAGGTCAGAGAGGCACCTAACTCATATAAGACCAGAGTTTTTTCATACCTTTGTGGTAATTTATATTTAGACAACTGGGAAACTTTGCTGCTCAGAATGAATGTAAGTGCCTCTATGGTAGGTGGCAAATAGCTGTAGCTGCAGACTTTATGAATCGATTCTTAACCTAATTTCATGCCTTCCAAATGCTGTTTATATCCCATTTGAAGCACCGAAGAAGGCTATACAGTTTTTGCCTTGTGTCTATCTGTACCTTATAAGTTTAAAGAATTTAGTAGTTCTCTACCACACAAGTCTTTTGCAAATATAAATTACCTAAAATTACTAGGTTGCTAGAATTACACTCACTGTTTCAAGCTGCTCAAGATTTCCAGATGCTGAATGTTATACATAGCTACCTGGAAACCTATCAATGCTATAATGATGTTTTTTTGAAAAAATAGTATATGATAATCCAATAAAATGTTTGTTTTTCATTCTCATTCCCTTTCTCGGAAGGGATAGAATCACAAAACTTTTGCAAAGAAACACGTCATCACCTTCCATCACAATAGAACGAAAGGATATTTACATGAAACGCTCTGCATCTATTTGGATAGCTGTGAATGATGCCCATGAGAGCTGTGTGAAAGGAAAGAACATCTCTGTTACACCAAGCAAAGCAGGTACAGCATTTTCACAACTTGTATTACTGCAACTCCTAGCTGAAACAGTGATAGGATAAAGATTATTTCCAACATTATAACTCCCAAAATGCAGCTTTTCATATTACTGATTCAGAGAGCTAAGCTGCAGTTTGGCTCCCTTGGATGAAATCTTCACTAACAGCAAGAGCAGAAGTCTATCAGCTTTTATGGCAGAAAGATTTTGCTTTAAATCACTTGCTAGACTATAAAGATTCTTTGTCATATCCAGAAAAATATACAGTAATACACGTGTACGGTACTTAACCAGCTTCCTATGTTCTCTTTGATGGTTTTTTGAACTTCTTTATTGGTTTACAAAGAGCAGGTTGACTCAGTACCCTATATCTAAGGAATCCTAGTAATAGAATATGAGCATTGTGAGAAAACTTTTCAAATTTTGACCATTTTCTAAGGCCACTCACCCATTACATAGTGCTGCAGAGGAGATTTAAAAAACAAAAAACAATGAACTATTCATTTTAGATGTTTATTCAGAGATTCTTTCTAGTAACCAAGCACTGCGATAACTTCAAGAACTTCCCAAAACCTGGCCTTCTCAGAGTAATTATAGTCCAGGAAAAAACGATGCTTCTCACTGCTTGAGGGCACTACCAGTAAGACCTAGATTATCACTATGGCTTCTTGGCCACCTTGCATGTATCAAAGGAGAAAACAAAATGTATTTGAGCACAAAATTATATAGCTAAACACAGTCGCTGAAGTTGGAACCCATTAAAAAGTTCTGGAAATTTTTCTAAAATTCATGACTATAGGTACTCTCGACATTTTGATTTTGCCTTTCAGGCTCACTCAGAAAAGCATCTGTTTACAAAAAAAGGTCTTCCTGAAATCAGCAGAAGCATCCGCAAAAGACAGGCAAGAGGAGCAACACTGTTTTGCTGATATCATAAAGATTTAGTAATAATTTATTTCCAGTCTTTTAAAAGTCTTTCAGTGTTCACTATTCTGAGCCAAGTCTTCTAATTTCTTTTCAGTAAAACACACCTGACAGACACAATTACCAAAGCTTTCCTGCTACACTTGTATTGATAACATCTGCACGTTCCCCATTTTAGGGAAGTGCTTGACACCATCTAACATAAGTGCTCATCAGATCACAAACCAAGTGATAATAAAATGGGACCTGTCTGCAACTCCTACAAAGTATGAGCTGAGATACAGAGAGGCACTCACGGAATCCACTCAGTGGACGTTGGTAAGTACTTCCAGATGACAGTTGCTTGTGAATCTGGAGTGATTTACTATAAGATCAGTAATGAACAGCCCACATAACATGCAGATAGCAAGGTGGCACGGAACATGCACAATTTGTAGCTGAATCACATAAAGGCCTCCTGTTAGTTTGTTCTGATAAATTCTGAACTGAGAGAGAAAGATGTATAGTCTTACACAGGAGAAAAACAAGAACGCTATGTCAGCTGGCTCATTAAGTCAGTGAGACACTGTAATGATCAGCAAAACACTGCAAAAGTTGAAGATCCACAAAGGGTATCAGAAATGCTATGTAAGCCAGAGTCTTGATAACACTTCATTAAGTATTACTCTTTTTGCTGGTATCATTAAATTTTCAAACAGGTTAGAGACCAGGATGCTGTGATTTTCAGGTAACAATTCATACCTTATGCTTTTGTTTTGCACCAGTTTTCTTCTTTGACAAGAAGGCACTTAATGTGCTGGTGATACAAGATCAGTTCCAGATGCACGACAGGATATAGAACAGTGAAAATATTATTCAAGCTCTGTGTTAGCTGTAGTTGGAGGAGGAATATGAAGGCATCAGCCAGGACAGAACCCCAGGGAGGAAAGGGTCTAAAATGCAACTTCTTAAGCATCTCTTCTTAAGCATCTGCTTAAGCAGTTTCCACTTCTTAAGCATCTCTACTCTTTCAGGAGTGTCTCTGCTTCTTTTACAGTTCTTCCCTCTTACATCAGAAAACCTGGGATCTTCTTTCATTTCTCCTGTAGCCGACACTTCGTTTGGCCTGACACTTTGTTTAGCCTCTTAAGAAGGATTATTGTTTAGGATTATTAAGAACTCCACTTCAGAAAGCTTTTATCTCAGTACAAAGAATGTGCAATCCTTGGAAAAGTCTCTGTTCAGTGATACGAATCCTGGACTGTTCTAGGACAGCCAGATACCCATGCATTCTCTGCCTGGTAGTACAGTAGATAGCTATGCACAGACTGTCCGATACGCTCCATATGGAGGAACAGAAAGTTAAGAACAATAAACGAGAGGATGGGGCACTACAGGTTCTGGAGACGGGGGAGATAGGAGATTCAAGTGACTAACATGAAGGACTAGAAGAGACAGTTACACTGAATGATGAAAGTGACTGAGTACTCTAAGACTGCACGTCATGAATATTCATCATCCCCCATATACCAGCTGATCCTGTGAACTTGTGTATATACAGGCTGCATTTACACATAGCCTTGGAAGAAAAGGGTGAGTGTGTACATTCAGGCACAGAGGAGATATAAAACTAGCTGAACAATAGCAAGCATTTACCGAGAACAAGATTAATGTACTGTAGAACACTCGGGATCCTAAGTCCAACTCACCCCACACTTGTTCTTTTTTACAAAAACAGTCAAAGAGATTTGGAGTCTTTCTCTGATATTGTGGTGGTGAGGGGAGTTGTAACCAAGCTACTTTTAGTAACAAAAATATATGTAGATAATTACAACCTTTATAAAAAGCAAAGCATTGCAGAAAACCAAAGAGAAGAGCTGGCCACAAAGAGTGGTTTGGTTTTTCGTTTTTGTCTTGTTTTAAGAAATATATATTTAGCAAACAAAACTTCCTATCAGATAAATATTAAAATAAATATTTCAATTTGCAATAACGTTTCTGCCAATAACGTAAGAACAGCCAGAATGGGTCAGAGCAAAGGTAACGCAGGATGTTGTATTCTGATGGTGGCCAAAAATAACGGCTAGGGAAGAGTATAAAATAGTGCAAGCATATAGCAATACTTTTCTTTGATATTTTCTCTGCTTCCTACAGTTTTCAGCTCAGAGATTTCCTTAGACACAGGTGATGTCTTTGTACAAAAACCATCTACATTCCCTGTACAGTCACTGACGATTTCTAATGCTGTCATCAGTTGTAGATACACTGTAGTTCTGAGGTGCTAAGGCGTAGGCAGTCACATATTCAGCCCAGCCATGCCCCTCACATAATCAGCCTTATGGATCCATGTAGACATAGTGTAACATTGGAGAGAAAGGGTGTATGGGGATATAAGTGTGTGTGTGTGTGTGTGTGTGTGTGTACACACATCCACATGCAATATTTCATTCAACCTTGACATCTTGTCCTTCAGAATGCCAGCAAGGACCTCAGTCAAGTCAGTGATTGTTCTTCAGTATATTTAAGTCTAATTGATTTTAAAAGCAATGCACAGGTCTAAGCTACTGCTTACATGCTAAATGGGATGGGCTCAGGAAAAACATTCAGAGAACCTGCCTTCAAAGAACGAAAAAGGAACGGGACAAAGTGTGCAGTAATTCCTCTGTGATGTTAGGGACCCCTACTTTCAACTGTAGTCATAAGACTGGTCCTGGACTCCGAAAACAGTTCATATAAGATCATATTTTATTGCTGCCACACATATAAAACTCTTTTTTTTTTTTTTCAGGTGAGCATAGAAAACAATTCTGTCAACATCACAGTTTCAAACTTAAATGTTATGTCTTCATACATCGTTCAGCTCAGGTGCATAGCCAAGGAGGATCACCACTGTGTTTGTGTTTGGAGTAGAGAGATTTTAGTCCCTCACAGTAAGTGAAATACAGTTTTGTTGTTCTGGGAATAAGCATCAATGTAAAAGCCTTTTCAAATTTTGTATCAAATAAAACAGGGTTGTCAGATACTGTTGAAAATATGAAGCGTAAACTGACTCATATGAGTGCATATCTCCATCTTTTTCATGTTTACCAGAGCTCACTAACAAGCCAATGCTATCATATAACACAACTACAGAAATCTCTCCAGGCAGAAGAAGTGTTCTTCTTAAGTGGGAGGTAATGTTCACTTTGGGTATGAGTTTCTTCTGTTACAACCATGCTACTAATCTATTACTTTGCAGGGAAAAAAAAAATACTTTCACATTGTATTGGGACCGCATTGTACAAGCAAAAGGCACTGAATATTGTACTCGTCCTTCAGGACTCACTAAATTTGTAGGGTGGTATTTCGGGTGCTACAGACCCAAAAGGAAATACTACACCAATTTATAAACTTGAAAAATTGCTCAAGCAGCAGTTTCTAGGCTCAAATCATTGACTAGAATAAAGATTCTTCGCAGCTCACTCTAAGAACTGGTGTGTCTCAGGTTTGCCTCTTAGAATTAAGCTTGCCTACACAAGCAACACCCTGCATTTCACGTGTTCCTAAGGAGCACTCATATTCTCAAGAGACCCACACTTTTTAGAAAAACATGTAGTAAAGCTACTACTTTACAAATTCAGAAGAGATATATTCTAATCAGGAAGGAAAGAGAGCCACCAACTTACATGAACAGCATCTAGCTGCATGTTTCCCACAATGATATTTAAAGTCCAAACCTCCAAGACAGAAGCATTCCTTCTTCTGCAGCAGGTGTCATTATCAGCTGACTGACTACTGTACATCAGTCAATTTTACCAGATGAAGTGGTCTCAGTAAAAAATGGCCAACTGACAGTCTTGCATTCACACTCCATGCTCCCACAGGTAACTTTGATGAGCAAGGTATTAACAAAGGTCTTTGCATAGAAATGAATTCTATCTAGGTTCTGAGAAAAAAAATGTCTTAATGTCTTCTACAGAAGTCGGCTGTACAAGATATCAGAGGCAGAAAGGACAGAAACTAGCAGAGTTTTGAAATATTAGATGATGGGGAGAGTTTTGTAATTACCCCTTGTGTTCTTGTTAAAGGGGAAAAAAAGAGACAGCAGAGAAAATAGTACCTCATCTTCTGATAAGGATGAGATATCCCCCTTATTCCCTTATCTCCTTATAAGAAGGCAAAGTTGCATAGTATATGATTCATTTGGGGATAAAGCAATACTTGTATATGCCAATTTAAATGTTAAGCTAAAAGAAGAAAATATTCTCCATCCAAGCACTTTAGTTAAAAATACATATATTAAATATAGGATCAGGGCTAGGACCTTCATTCAGGAAAATACTTGTACTAGTCTATTACACTAAATGAGGTTCAAGTCCAGAGGGCTTCAATAAATATTGAAAGTCTAGAAGGAAGGGGTGTACTTAATTATTAACATGTTATACAGAGAAAAAAGAAAACTTGGGCTGCACTGTCCTACTTGTTTAAGCCGATCTGAAGCACAAAAAAACCTTTAAGATGTTAGAGACTAGCCACAGCTTCCCTGTTTTTGCTAATGTTCAAACTTTACTGAGTTTGGATCAACAGGCAGGAGTTTGCTGGCTTCAGCACTAAACATCCAACCAAGCAGTTTGCATTACTTTCACAGCTGGAATTAACACAGGACCTCCTGCAGGACTGCAGAAGATAGGACAGTGCTAGCCTTTTCCAGTCTCATCTTGCTAAGCTAAGAAAGCCAAATTCTGCTAGTTTCTTCCTGTGCAATATGCCCTCTATTTCATATATCACAGGAATCATTTCTCTTACATGGAAACCTTTCCCAGCTTCACTGAACCTTCTCCAGTTTCAAAGCCTAGTGATAGAACCATAACACTGTTCTCTGGCAGCTTCACCAGAGCTTCAAATAATGGCACCAATTCTTCCCTCCCCATCCTGGGAAATACTTCTGTTACTTCCAAACTAGGAGCTTCTAGCTTTAGCAGAAATTCATCCCCATGGGTATGTCTTTGCCTTCTGAATTATTGAATATTATCCTATGTTATTCCAAAGGTATCCGATTGCTTCATTAAGATAACCCTCCTAGCTTTGTGTCATTTTCCCACTATTACTTTTTGTGCCAAGGTCAACGAACAAATAGCAGAGAAGCTTGATCTCAGAAACAATCCTTACAGAATTACCAGAATTTCATATACAGAGTTAAGTGTCCATCTAGGCTGCAGTAATTTCCATTTCCATGCCCTCACTTTCCAGTTCCTGGAGAAGAGTAGTACACTAAAATAAGGAGTGGACCATCACCATTGAAAATTTGTATCAATGGATATATAACATGTCCTAAAGTTGTAGTGTAATTACTAGCGTTTATCCTCAAAGAGGCCAGATGCCTAACAGAGTCTAGTAGGTGAAGATTCTCAGAGGCATACAGTACAATTAAACACCCCTCACTAACTTTCAAGGTCCTAATTATAAGGGATATGTTCCAGTGCAATGTACAGAATGTTACAGCTGCTTCACTGCTGTTATTACTAATTGGATACACATAACCAAGATCTCAATTAAGTGAAACACTTAATCCTGTGCTTAAATCCTCTCAATTTAAATAGGATGTAAGCACGTTCTTAATTTAAGTAAATGCATTGCTTCATTGATTCCTGAAAACCTAATTAAAATAGTATGATTTTATCCCCATCATCAAAGGTGACATTTTGTTTACATAATGTCATTGTTCTTGATTTTCTACATAGGACATAATAACATTGCTCACTGATAATCTTTTTCCTCTTCAGGTAGCACAAAGCAGGAACATCCTTGGATACTATGTTAATGTAGAAAGAGTACCCAACAGTTGCAAGCATTCACCAAAACGCATCATTCTAAAAGACCAAAAAGTTCTTCTAAATCTCTCCATGGCTTATTATAGAATTAATATTTCTGCCTATAACGAAGCAGGAGAGTCTCCACAAACCATTTACATTGTCCCAGATTTCTCCGCGACAGGTACTTGCTTTATCATTTACTCATTAAAGCAGTGGAAAAGTTTAATAAGCAGTCCTTAGACTACCTTGACAGTCTTTGGGGTGGGTACAAGCATTCTCTTGAATATTTACTAGGTTGCTATTTTTGCATGGTGAGACTGGTATTCTTTTTTAGGAAAGTATTTCTACTGAAATTAGCTAACAGACAACCAGTTTAACAATACTTGCAGAGCTTTTTGTTTTCTCAGGCTAGAGAAACAACTAGGTATTAGCTTTACCTATCAGAATGGCTTATGGAGTGTACATAAAGTTAAGTAGACGTCAGTAGTTCAAAGAAAGTTCTCAGAATCATCTGCAAATCTAAGTTTTTGAGTTAAGCAACTTTTATTTTGTTATTACCCCGACTGGCACATGGGAGAAGGAACTGTAGGAGGTATACATCATATTTCAATGACGATTTTAAGCTTTTGTGATGCCTAAATACCTAGGTTTTTCATTTCAACAACAACATTTAACAATTATTCTGTTTATATATAAACCAGTTTCATTTGCTACAATCGTCTATAAAATTGAGGTACAGTTATTGTAATGTAAGAAAAAACTCTCTCTTCCAGGGTAAAATTTTTTGTTTTTAATGGAGCTATAGTATGCACAAGTAAATCAGTGTGCAAGTACCATTGCTGATCTCCAGAAAGCTGCAACTAATTGGTTTTCCAAAATTTTCTAGCCCACTCTCCTCATTCCATTCTCCTTTGCCCTGCAAATACTTAACAATTTATTTTTACTTCTCACAGCTCACTGCTTTAGCAGCCTTCTAATAAAATACATACGCTTACCTCAAGCCATCATTCAGCTGGCAGCTCCTTGTTTACTGAATCTATCAGCTTGTTCTCCATGGCGCTCTCTAGACATTTGTTTTAGATTTGCTTTGCTTTTACTTATGCATAGATCCTCTGTATCTGTGATGAATTACTGGGAAGGTACACGCATTAAGTGTGTTTCCAAGACAAATTCCTTCGCATTATGCAGAACTCTTCCTCAGCTAGTATAATCATTTTCTTTAATTCTACTTACTACATTGGTTTTCAGATAGGAGATGAAATGGAGAATTGTATCTGTCATGAGATTCCTTTCTTACTACAGCTGACAGGTTGTTCCTCTCCTCCCTTAGTTTCAATCAGAAGGTCTTTCTTAGTTTGATAATCTGCCCTAGAAAATGTTAAAATGTTTAAAAATTTAGTATTTTCAGTAAGAAGACATTGTTAGCCCCTCTCTCTTCCTCTCCCAAGTAAAAGCTATCTCACAGTTGCTCGCTGCACAGCAGCTGATAGCTGTTCACAGAAGGTTGTTTAACAATGGTGAGCTTCCTCTTCCTGAGGCTTGGAACAGCCATTTCCCCCTTTCTGACTGCGAGGAATTAAAGGTCACAGGCAGCAACCAACACGGGATCTCCCTGAGACTTTTGCAAAGTACCAGATGCTAAGTCTGCTTTACGGACATGGTAGCGTAAACCTTACTTACTTGTCTTAAAAGAAGTCTGAGCAAAAGAGAGATTGCTTTCCTGTTTATTGATCTATAATGGTATATACATTCACAGACCTGCCTGGCCAAATCAACGTCAAACCTCAGGGAACCGATACAGTTGTCACCTGGACTCCAGAATACAATCCAAAATGTTTTGTGGTTGACTGGGGCACTGGTAAAGAGGATATGCGCATGAAAATAATAGCTGCAGCTACTGGAAATTTCACACTAGGTAACAGGAACATCTATTGATGAAGGCACCGTTTTCTTTACTGGTTATTTTTTGGTTGGGAGCAAAGGATTTTCATCCTGTTTTTAAGAACAAACTGAAGAACCAGAGGAGTACAATTTGTATCTTTCTTCTGCACTGAGATGATGCCCAACTTTTAGAGATATCAGAGCAGATAAAAAGAACAGTCTTCAGTAGGATTCTTCCGCTCATATTTGAGCAAGAGATGTAGCTAAACTGCTGTTGCCAGTACAAGGTCTCTCCTTCCCCAGATGCCAGATAGGGACCTATACGCCACTGGCTAACACAGTAGCATGAAAATAAAAATGTTTCCTCTGCTCCTAGGTAAACTTAGCCTTAAATATAAAATGCTCTGTTACAGGCTTTCCATTAGATTACTTTTTATCCCCGTGTTTGGCCTTGTCAAAGCACAACAGTTCTCAACTCCAATATTCTACTCACTAAGCTAGGCACAAGGAGCTGCTGCCAGTCATCCAAAAATCTTGACTGAAGTCATATAGTTGACTCTTGCAAAGACCAGTCAGGATTGACTTTTATGTACACATCTAACCTCAGGCTTATACAAATCAATCCACTGTTTTCCTTGCTCCTCCTGTTACATGTGCGCTGCCACACTACATCTAGTTGCAATGTTTTAAAATATGCTAGCTGAGGGGGACATATCTATCCTTAAACTAGGATATCTACAGGCATTTTAGTTCTCTTCTTTTCATTACGCAGCTCAGACCTTCCAGAGGAGGACTATAAGCAGGTCCAGCATATTTTAAAAGCAAACCAGTGTTGTGTCTTGTTCTACTTTTGAAATTGTTTGCAAGAAGTGTCTAGAGGAAAGACGCACATATTTTGTACTCAGAGTACAAAGTGGTACTCACTGCAAACTTATACTATGCTTTGAGAATGAGAAAATAAGAATTATACAGAAAAGCTATCAAGTTGTTGTCCCTCCTCCCCTTCCTTCTCACTTACAGCTTTTCAGTAAACACTGATGTAAGTTTATTTGTTTTCCAGACAATTTTCAGCCATATAAGTTGTACAAAATAATGGTACATGCATCTGATGTGTGTCAGTGTGAAAGTTTCACAAGACATGAAAAGACTTTTGGAGTGACCCACTTTTACTCAGTTGAAGGAGGTATTCCTCCCCTTTATACCTCACCCCTTATATTTCTTCTCATTTCCTATCTGCAGCCATAAAGAAATCCTACAATAAGTTTCTGTTACAGGTGTCTTACCAGCATTCTCCGATTAGCATTGCCTTTGGTCCTAGCAGTTATGCACTGGCAGAGTGAGGGACCTGGATGTTGTTCTTTACTGACAGGCCCACTGAAGTGTTAGCATTACAAATGACATTACCAAAATAATAGCAAGAGGGTCCCTGAGTTACTAGTCCCCACAGCTCAAATTTATCTATGACCAAAGTCAGATGTTCCACCTCCAATTCAGTGATGGCTTACACTGGAAGTTGAAATTAATAAGGCTGTGTGACTATTGGAGTAAAAGCATCCATAACAAGTCAGTCACAGTTTCTGCCTACTTTGATATTGCTTAAGATCAAGTTGTTTTACTCAGCGGGATTTCTTTTTTCTCTTTCACCCTTTATGTGATGTTTACGACAACTAGAATCAGGGAAGGAGCTCTCTAGATAGCAGCTAGGTTTCAGCCTTGCATGTCTATTGAATAAATATTAATGTAGAACTTACATTATTATCTGGTTTTTAAGTTCCTAGAATAGGTCCCGCTAATGTGACAGTTCTGAATATCACAAAACATACTGCACTTGTGAAGTGGACTGAAATAGCTGCTGAAGACTGTTTGGGCTTTCTCCGGGGATACAGAATAAGCTACATAGATTCAGCAAGACCTAAATCTGTGGGTAAGTCACCATCACTCAGAACAAAGCAGCAGCTCAGTCCCAGTGCTGCGACCAAAAAAAGTTTCATCATTTAGTGCTTTCACAGCACAGAGCTAAATTACTTTCCTTTCTGTGAGAATTTATAGGGCCATCTCAAATTAAACAGTGATGAGAAAAAAATTTCCTTAAAATCTATGATTCTAAGATTACAGTAGAATTTTCTAGTAACAGTGAAAGGAAGATTGGTATTTTGCTTTTGGTATTTCTGAGGTATTATGATTTCAGTCACAGTTCTTTACATTTCACTGTAACTTAGCCAAGCTTGACTCTGAGCATTACTAAAGAAAGAACTTCAAAAATTATGTATTTCTTTTATTGACCCAATGAGCAGCATATAAGTATGTACTTCCTAACTGTTTTGAAAGACACAGTTATTAATTTCATTTTTAGCAAAATTATCTTAAATTGACAGTTTTTGTGTTTAACTACTAGGGATTAAACTTTTACATTATAAAATGAATAGTTATGAGCTCAAACTACTTAGGTTTGCAAAAAAGTCATCTCTTTTGATAAACATTTTCCTTCTGTTCTGCTATGGAAAGTCCTCTTGCCACAAAAAATAATGCATTAACTTTCAACAGTTTGACATGTATTTAAGGTTAAAGACACATGGATAACAAATAGTCCCTAAGACCCTACAAAGGAGAGTAAGGAGGGTTCTGTGATTCATGTCAGCATATGCCTCTAAAGGGCCATGAAAAGTAACAAAAGCTTCAAGAGCAAAGTCCTGGCTCCCCTGAAGTTAGCATTGTCTTCAGGGGACTCTATGCCATTACAGGCACCTATCAGGTATCTCAAGGGGAGACAGAAGAGTAGTGCCCACGGCTGAGTTTTATTTTTTAACTCTCCCCTAATGAGACAATATAACAGTGACACAACAGCTGATTGCCATGTTTGCCAGGCAAGAATAATAATTTTCAGTTTTTCTAAGAACTTGGAGGAAGGAAGCCTACAGGCTACAGCACCATTTCTACTTCTGTGGAGATCTTATATTCTCAGTGGCAAGCTTGAAAAATAACTTCAGTCATGTCAGAAGTATTCTACAGCATTGCTGATTGATTGCATTATTCTTGCCAGGGTAAAAATCATGGCACCATCAAGAAAAGGAAAAGGTTGAGCAAAAAAGGTCCACAGAGCAGGTGAAACAGAATACATAGCCTATTTTCTGTAGAGAGTGCTCTAAGTAATTGCACTGGTATTAAGCAAAGCGAGTAAATACTAATTGCAGTCATGAGGATAAAGTATGTTGTAGGGTCTAGTCTTGCAAATATTATTCAGTGATTAATTACAAGCACTTCAAATCCTTTGCTCATTCCATGGTCAAACACAGGACTAACATGAACATTCATTCTACTGCTGCTGTAAAAACAAGTCTTTATTTCAACTGTCACAGCCAGGGATATTCAGGAAACGCACTGTTCAGCGTGTCATGCGCATTTCCTGTCATGCAGTATGCCTAGCCTATTGCAGTTAGCACCTAAACATCCTTGGTGTGTTAAAAGCTCATGGTTTTTACTTCCGGGTTCAAACACATTATCGATTAGACTGAGTCTAACACCATAGTAGACCCCTTTTTGATTTGACCGCAGCTTTACTCAAGTAAAGCTTTTTAAAGAAAAAAAAAGTCAAGAAATATAAAATTTTGCTTTTTCCCTTCAGAGAGCTACATTCATAAACTCAGACATCAGAATTCAGCTAATATTCTTATCCCCTAACCCTTCTTGTGTTTCAGCTGCTACAGTCAATTCTTCTACCACGAGTTACCATCTTACCGGACTTAAGGAAAAGACTATCTACCGTGTGCAGATTTCAGGATTCACCAATGCTGGAGAAGGACCTCAGACTCTTTCACAACCTTTCAGTACGCCAAAATACGGTACTGTGGAAGCTTTAAGCAACTGCATTATGCCTGGAGTCAGTCGTGGCTTTATGCACTGCACATAGCATTATCCTCTACCCTCCCTTTCCCCTGCTTTTCAGGGAATGCTCACACACAAGATTTACTGTTCAGTGCTTAGTTTACTGATAGCAAACACACAAAATCTTTCCTTTGTTACAGGTAAACTACATAACAACTGTGTCTATATAATCACTGCCTAGCACACAGAGATTTAGCTAAGGTTCCTTATCGCTGAAGCATTTTCTGACCTTGTTGTGCTAGCTATATTCAAAGATCTTTCTTTCTTTATTGCAGGCTCCAATGACATATTCCAGCAGTTTAAATTCTGTCTGTGACTGGTTAAGTTCAGTGGTCTTTGTGCTTCACAAAACCCGGAGCAATCATCTAGAACAGTTTTTCAGTTAGCCACTTAAGCCATTAACCACAACCATAACTCAGGGAAAGTGTCCTGAAAAACAAAAACAAAAAACACACACAGCACACACAGGCTGAGACAATATCAGCCACAGGAAAACAAAACCTGTGATATTCAGAGAGACAGAAGTATGTAGATGATATCTTCCCACTATAGGTTTTTGTGTTCATACAATGGGATAGTCAAAGGCACGAAGCAGAAGGAGGAAAGAAATTAAAATTTTCCCTCAAAATCAACTCAAATCAAGTTTCCCATGAAAATCCTTTCTGCTGACAAAGAGCACAAGAAATCAAAGGGCTTTCACCAGAATTGGTGCGCCAGACTTCTATTATACCCACTGTATTGAATCTATGTTAAGATAAGATTCCGTTTTTGTGGAAAATAACAAGAATTCAGAGTTAATTGAATGCTATTTTTTTAATTCAAGTAATTACACTCAATTCAGAGATTACATTTACTGTTCTCTGCTCCCCAGTATTTCACAGGTTACTTTACATCCATTAAAAGAATCTCAGGCTTCTTTTTTCATAAAACACTTTCTCAGCAACAAAGCAGTTAGCAGCTTTTCAAATACCTTTTAAAGCAAAACTAAGTAGCTGTTTGTTTGATTTTTAAAAATACTTTTTTGTTGGGAGGTGGGTAGGAAAAGAAAAAGCAAGCAGCCTTTTCACAAGTATGGTTTGTCAGTATCAGCAACACAATCATGTGCTGACCACATTTTCCTGACGCTATTTTGAAACTTGATTTAACTGTCTGTAGAGAACACCTCAACTCTGACTCACGCTTCATCATAGATACTTCAGTTCCTGCATTAGCAATACTGGTCTTGCTGCCTGTGTTTTAAGTAGTTTGTCTCCTGGCAAGACAAAAAAGAAGGATCTCCGGCAGGTACTAATATAAGCAATGGTAGGCAGTATAGGTGCATGCCAAGGGCTGACACATGGCTGACTGTGAACGGGATTATATTCATGTTCCAAGCAGGTGAGGTAGGCAAGTCACCTATTAAATACACAGTCTACGTTACTGTTACCAGGACCAGGTGGGTTATTTACTCACTTACTTTGAAACCATTGCTCCAATCTCAGTACATACTTACTAACAACCTAATTTACCACCTAAGCTATTGTAAAAAGCAGGAAGGCTAACAGCTATAAAATGAAGTAAAAAAAAAAAAAAAAAGCAAAAGCCCACTACTAAAATCTGAAACATCTTAAAAGCCACTTCCTATTGAATAGTTTCTTATAAAGCCAGACCTGCAGCAGGGTCCTGACCCACTAAATAAGATGGAGCTCGCATGGGGAGTAGGTATGCTTCTGCCTTCTATTATGGAGTGAGGTTTTTTAGGTGATAGATTTAAGAATCAGCATGTACCCAGACATCTTAAAAAAATAAAACAAACCTAAAGACCTCGCAGCCCTCTAAAAATCCCAAACCTTGTCTGAATTAGATTTCACTTACAGGAATCCCAGAACATGTACAAAGTTTGACTTGAATTCTGTCTGAAATGCTTCTCTAATGGAAGCAACAGAGCCTCTGCATACTTGATACAATAAGTCTGATTCCATCTCCCTGTTTGTTTCCCATCAGATAAAGGGGAATTTGAAGGTTTTGTGACTGGCCTTTGCTTCAGCATCATGCTCATTCTGGTTTTTGCACCTCTCACTTGTTCTCTGGTGCTTAAAAGGTAAGAAGGGAATATTGAGTGAACTTGTTAGCTGCACTTCCTTTTTACTTAACCCTAAGTTTCATAGCACTGGGTATTTTTTGGCATTAAAAGCAACTCAATTCAAAAGCACAAGACAAAAAAGCCACCCCGCTCATTTATACAGTGAGAGCATTTAGAAACCAGTAACAAACTGATTGAAATACTTTGACAAAATTCATCATCTTTTACTTTTGATACACTTATCTGAGTACTTACTGTCTCAAACACCCTTGAAACGAACACGGATCATTTCTCAGAACCAAAAATAAATAATAAATAAATATCTACAGAATAAGCATACATTTGATTATATTCTAGCAGCATACACAGATTGACATTGCCATTTCAGCAGTTTAGATGCTACCTGTACAAATTATGCACATAAGCGCATAATAGGTATGTAGGGAGCATCTGTAGAGATGAGGAGTGATGGATGAGTAGGAAGAAGCGAGAATAACAAGGATGTCTACAAGATATAGATGAGGGAAGAGGTCCTCTAACTTTGGGACAAATTATTCTTTGTAGTGATAAAGTACCCTCCCCTCCTCAAATTAATCTCAAGTACAATACTAGGGCACGTACTAACACTAAAAGCAAAATGGCTTGCATAGTAACAGATTATTCATTTTCAGATACAGACTAGTCCAGTTCCATACACCTGGTTATATTATTAGTGTGATATCCTAGAATACTACCTTCCTTTTTCTCCTTTTAAAAAGCACCTACCTCAGATATTAAAAGGGTAGCTGTGAAAGGGCAGAGCAAACAGGTTGTACAAACTGCGACTTGAAAGGCACAATGCATAACATAACTTATTTTAATTTATGCATCGGGCTAAAGGCTCCTGCCTTTGCTGTTGAGAAACAGAAGACATCACAGCACACAAGCCTGCTGTTCACTTTCTTTTTTCAGGTATTTGCTTTGAGTTGCTCCATGTCTGTTCTGGCCTTTCTAAAGAGCTGCACACATTTTTTCTCCCCTGATGAGAACAGCTGAAGCCTACACAAAAGTTTTGTCTCAGAAAGGGCTTTATCTTGTTAAAGATCGTGCTCAGCTTAGCTCACTAGTAAAGAGCTCTCAGACAACCAGAAAAAAACAGCACTCAAAAGCCCAGTGTAGCATTACAAAATGACAACGAATTGCAGCAGTATTGAGCATCTGTAACTGAGGAAAAAAGGTCCCAAGGGACCCCCTCTGCTCAATTGTTTTGGTTAGATTTGTAAGAAGGGACTCACCAAGCCAGATAAACACCCATCTTCATGGGATCAGCGGAGATCAAATAATTCTATGGCCTCAGGCTCCACCTCAAACCACAACCTAAACAGAGACTAAGTATTTCACATGTAATGAAGTCTGGATTTGACTTGAAGACCAGACACTGAGGCAGGGTGATGTACTAGATAACCTTGTAGTCTCTCACAGCTGTTTTTTCTGTGAAGTGAGTCATTACCCAAAGGTCACACAGTGCTGCTCTATCAGCCGCTTCTGATAGAGGGATGATCAGCCCAGAAGAGCTCAGAGCTGCTCTTCCTCCGCTCCCACAGAAGGCGATGATTAAGGGTCATTGCTGGTTGATGTCAACGGGATCAGACTCAGTCCAAGAAAAACTTCTCTTGAAACTCGTACACCACTCCCACCGCTTCCCCTCTACGGGGAAATAACAGCCAGCCTCTGCTAGCATGGGGAAGGCAAGAGCTGGCTCGGGTGACGGCAGCCTGTCCCCTGAGGAAGAGCCACGGAGCACGTCAGGAAATCAGCCGGGGCGGGGGCGGGCAGGAAAGAGGGAGGAAATAAAAGGTGTTCTGAGATTTATGCGGAGATTGTAACAACGATTCACTCATCGCCAGCCCAGAGGTGTGCCTTTTGTCCCGTTTGTCCCTCACCTCGGCCTCGTTGGGTCTGGAAGGTGCCTGAGGGAGCTCGGCCAAAGGGGCCCTGCCCCAACCCCGGGGCTCGCCCGAGGCCTGCAGGCCAGGGCCTGCCCTCAGGGCTTGGCGCCCGCCACCCTCTCTGACAGCCCCACACGCCCCTTGCTGCAGCCGCGCGGCCCTCGGCCTTCCCCGCCCGGCTCTCGGCCGGCGCTCGGGGGCCTCGTCTGCATGCCTACGCGGGGCGCAGTTGCCCCCAGAAAAGCTGGAGAGCTTGGCAGGTTATTTTGAGTTTTCTTATCTCTGAGCTCCTGAATCCAAGAAAGGAGCTTGAAAGAAATGACTTTGATGAGATGGCTGTTGCCAGGCAGTCAGCTGAAACCCATTTGAACCGCTCGGTTCATGAACTCTTGTGCTACTTTTGTAAAACCTCCCCCCATCTCTTGCTCATTCAAGCCCTGCGAGGTTTGAGTGCAAAGGCAGAAATACTACCTGAGCTCCGAAACAAACACGCTGGATTTGGATTTTGTAGCAAGTTGGAACGACTTGTTCCTTGATCTATAGCTATTTCAGAAGCAGTTTGTGTGAGCTTTCAGTAAAGGCATGTTTAGATCACTATCAGAGGAAATAGTAAGATATTGTAATAGATCCCAGCAAGAGCCAAATTCAGACTGGGGATAAAGACTAGGAGCTATATTGCACTCCCAGGGAGGGCCCTGGGAGCAGGCCCCAGGGAGAGCCTCTTCCAGATCAGCAGCTTTATTTCAGAGAAGCTAAAAAGCAGAAGTTTGTTCTTTGAGGAAAAGTAAACTTCTAAGTTGAAGCCCACTAGCAAGTGCTTATTAAAACAAACTTCTTCCTACATGTCTGAGAGTCCTCAAAGGAGAAAATGGAGGTTTTGTGGAAACAATAGTGAATTAAGAATACACAATGAGAGAACTATAGAAAGAGACGTTACCATCTCCTGTCGCAGATGCTAGATTTCACTAACTCAGCATTGCAGCATAGACTAACAAGTTTGGTCCTCAGTTTTTCATTGGCAGTATGTTTAATAGCCAGTGCATAACATCTCAATTTGATGATTGTGAAAATACCAATAAAATTTGTATATGAATGCCGTTAATAATAAATGCATAGGAAATGTCAGTCATCTAACCTGACAATAAACTTGGAGTATTTCTTTACAGGTTGAAAGAATGGTACTGGCCTAGCGTACCGAATCCAAGAAACAGCAGTGCAATCCAAGATATGGCAAGTACTGTTCCAATGGTATGAAAAAACATACCAGGAAGCTTTTTCCTACTGATTAATCAGTATATTAGTTATTATTCTTTTCTGAAAACTCTAGAGCACAAGATACTCAAAAGTAACTCGCAACTTGTAAGTAATACTGATGGCCTAATGCCACAGAAGTGTCCAAAAGGAGATAATATATGTGGTGTTTTTCTGGAATCCATTCCTCTCCCCTCAAGATCTCTGTGTGCTTCAAGAGCAATCCAGGGGCTCTAGTTTTTCAGCTGGTAGCTGTCTGAAGAGGCATGTGCTAATCAAAAAGCACTACAATTCAGCTGCACGTTTAAGCCTTGCTCTACCCATAGCTTGTGATAAAGATATCTGTGTTTCAGGTCTGAAGTAGTGCCTGGAACTTAGCTACTGGAAGGAGACTGCTGGAGAGATACACATTTGTCACTTCCTTGTTCCCAGGCATTAACATGATGACCGGAAGTATATGCCACTGTCAGGCTAAGCGGATGTCAGGGACTGGAGAGTTCAAAGCCAAATATTGCCATAGGAAAAGACAAGAGCATGATCAAAGATCAGGCCAGAAGCTGGAAGGTCTCTACAAGATACTGTCCAAGATCTAAGATAGAAAACACCAGAATGAAATCAGCAGCAAGGAAGTTCAAGAAGACCTTGACAGGCAGGCCTTGCCTTTCCCTTGCCTTGCCTCTTGAACCTAAGTGTAGCTACTTTCGATAAAGAGGTGGTGAGCTCAGATGTAGGATCAGGTAGTCATTCCGCAAAAACCAGAAAATGCAGAAGAGCAAAGGATGATCAGGTGGCAGATGTACAAGTTGAGAGTTTCAAAAGTGATATTATTAGAAGATTGTAGTTTCACTAGTTTAGTGAATCAGTTTTAAAGAACTTGATCTGTTTAGGAGCACTGGGCAACTTCCAATTCATAGTTCTCAAATTCAGCTGTCTTTCATCGGCCACTCGAGTAAAAACAACTCCACTTAATTCTCTTGGTTCTTTTGAATACATTTAGAAAGTGGGAGATCTACCAACACTTGCTCAAAATGAGTCTTCCTCAAAGGCAAAAAGAGAATCTAGTATATTAAGCAGTTAGGGGGTTGCTTCCTTAAACAAATAGCAAAACCTGAACGATTTTTTAATGTGATAAAAAGGTTAGGGGGATAGGAGAAGGTGAGCAAGAAAGGAGTAAGAACCACCAGTCAAAATGACCTAACGTCATATTAGGCATGACTACATTTTGATTCAGATGGGCAAGTGTTCAAAGAATAATTTGCGATTGTGAATAATGCAAATGAAATGCATTGAGGCTGCATCTGATAGAAAGAACAAAGAGGTTTTATGGACTAGAATGCCATAAATACTTTAAAAGAAAAATATGTTTATTCGAAAATCCATTTAACTGGTCCTGCAGAGGCAGAGCAGCTATAAAAGGAAATGGAACCTGTATTAGCCCAGTCTGGTAGAGGAATAGTATTGTGTTGATAATGTGACAGGAAAAGAAATAACAGATATCAGTTAAGGGCTTTTGGGAAAGCAGAAAGAGCTCTGAGTAGACAATACAATAAAGCAGTTACCAGAGACTTTCCTAGAAGTAAGCTGACATTAGCAACAGTTCATTAGGTATGCCTTTCTCTATATTTCATGAGCACTATAAAACTGTTAAATGGGAAGCAATTAGGAAATTTTACTATATTATCCGTGTGTGTGTGCCTGTGTGTGTGTGTGTGTATGTATATTTGCAGATTGTTTCAGGAACGATCTCTCTCAGCTTAGTTAAACAGCGTATGAAATCCTGACAGAAACAAACATATATTCCAGATTGGTGGCAAGAGAATTTGTACTTTAAATGCACTCAGAACACCTGAAACTGCAATGTAAGGCCATAATACAAATCCCATTGTACCTAGCAGCAAGGTGAACTGAGAGCACGCTCAATTCAAACAGCACACGCAGATGAGGAAAATGAACTGCGGTGACTAACAGGGCCAGCCAGCCAGCCCATCAGCATCCTGTTCTTCATGTTTAGAAAAGATTCTTCAAAGAAGGGTATGAGACTTCCTGGAGGGAATAGTTACGGGCCTAACCTCACTCCAAGAGGGAACAGTTTTTTCCATGAAGCAATGGGATTTTAGAAATCAAGGAAAATTGGTTTTAAGTAACAACATTTTTACATTCAGTTATGTAGGAACAGTTCTATTTTCTAGTCATTGGGAGCTGCAATGTCTTCACTCCTATATGTATATCTATTGCGGTCAATAAGCCTGCAGTAAATTCACAGAAGTGAGCTAAATAGGACTTTGCTTTAATGCAAGAATTATCAAACTCTGACACCTGTAAACTTGCAAATGGCATGCCAAGGCAAATAGTGAGTGCTTGTGAGGTGCTCACCTGGGCTACAGTATGGGAATATCCTGGTGAGGTTAATATAGTTAATCAGTCACCTGCACAGAAAGCAATTGGTTCAACACAATAACTACTTACACAGAGGTTTTCACCATGAGCTGAACAGTAATCAGCTCTTCGCAGGCACTGCCAGTCGGCTGATGTGGGCTATTGCAGGCAGGCTACTGCAGGCAGGCACAGCCCTTGTCCTACTTCTTCAGCCAGGGTTGGTCCTGGGAGGTGGAAAATCTACAACTACCACGTCGTCTTCTTCACACATTAGTGGCTCTCGCAGATAGGAGTTCACATGCTGCTTATTTTAGATATGTTAGGTGTAGAGTTTGGGCTGCTGTTCATAATAAACATGAAAATGGAGACATATACCCTACAAGTCTTTATTCAAAACGGGGCAAATGCCGACCATGAAGAGGTGTCTGCTCATCCCAATAAAAGTGCTAGTTAGATACTTATTGATATTTTATGCAGAGTTACTGAGATTTCAGAGAGCAACAGTACATTCATTCTCCAATTCAGAACAGAAATTGTGGGAAGAAAGGAAAGTGAAACACAATTTATCCTTACTTATTTCTCAGATAAGGTCCATAACAGTTTAAAGAAATTTAGAGCAAGTGAGGAGAAAAAAAAAAAAAGGAAGAGGCTAATAAATATGTCAGACAACATACCATCCTAGCCTTAATTTAAAAAACATTACGGGGAAAGTGGGAAAACCCAGCAAAACAACCTAAGCAGAACAGAAGGATGCTTGGCATTACAGACTGTTCTCCAAGTAATCATCCAGAATTTGCAAAACCTTGTAACCCAATATATATTCAAATCACAACATGGCATTAAGGTGAATAACAAACTGCAGGTAGAGGCTGATACCGAAGCTAGTTTGACTATCATTCAATTCAATCTGCTGCATTTTTCTGGTAACGTATGGGTTAAGCTTTTTGAAAGCTGCGGGTCTCAAAACAGCTCATCCTAAAACCTACATTTTATCCGTGCTACATTTTCTTTCTAGCACACAGAAAAGCAAGAAAAACTTTACTTAAAGGAGAGGAGGAGAAGTCCTCTTAATTAGAGAAATAAATATTTCCAGTCATGTTCCTAAAACCTATGGAGATAAGATAAAACACATTAGTTAGCTAACATTATATAGGCAGGACCAGGCTGCCTGTCTCCTAGCTTTATTTTTCAGTCATTTATTTCAGTAAATTGGCAAATGCACTTTGATATGATTTGAGATGAAAATTATGATACTGAAATTCTCCTTTCTCCTTGTTTTTGCCTTGCAGACTAATTGGAAACCCATTTCAACATCACTGCTTCAGGCCGTGACAGACAATGATACCACCAGCCTGTACGTCATAGAGCATGAGTCAAAGGCTCCTTTGAAGCTAGAGCTCTTTGCAGATGATGTAGAAGAAGACAGCAAACGTGACACATGCCAGTCAGAAACACTTAGGAATAATATAGACATAAGCCTAAGGCATGCACAAATCCCTGAAAAAGCTGTTACAAGTGAAAATGAAAGGGTCATTTCCATTACAGTACCACTCTTGAGTGACTATACCAGCATGGAGTTCAGCCAGAAAGCCCTGATGAGTCTGACAGTGAAGCTACCTGCAAGAGCTGCTCATCCTCACCTGGAAATGGAGCTAAGCAGTAAGCCAGCAAAAACTGAGCAACAGGTTTTGTTTGCTCCTCAAGATTACTTGAAACAAAGCCAGGTAGTATTTATGCCATCTGGACCAACTTTAAGGGGACATGTCAATTCTAACTGAAGAATCTTCATACTTTCTCATGCCATAAAGCAAGTTCCAAAACCTCTCGAGAATAGAGACATTAGGATCATATACAATAGTGAACTTGTGACAACGGTAATTCTCTACTTCAAGGCAGAGAATTCCTAGGTGAAATAGATTAATTATAAAATTACATTAGCTATTTCACCACAGATACTCTGTGCTAATTCCTACAGTCTTCACATAGGCGAAACTTGCATGGAAGTATATGAAAAATCTTCCAGTAAGGTACATCTCTTTGCTAATTCCTTTGAATTTGATGATTTGCAGAGAATGTAATAAATCCAACATGGCCAATTGACTCAGTTACAGTATTTGCATTTAGGAGACTTCAGTTCTAGTCCCAGGGCAGTCAGGAAGCCAATACTGTTCAAGTCATCAGAAGAGTTCTCTAATCAGTTTTATATATCTAAGACCTGATTTTCATGTCCAATAAGCTCTTTAGTAAAAATTTTAGGTGTCTACCACTCCAAAAAAGCTCTCCAGTTGTTCAAAGCTGACAAACAGAAAAGTGAGAAGCCCTGAATTTAAGCAGGGAAAATGATGCCTATCCACCTATGTAAAGCACTTTATGTTGGATAAACAGTTTTGTGTAAGTGAAGATGATGATAACTGTTATCATCATTACTGGAGTTTCACTTACATTACATTACGGCTCTTTCTTCCTATATGTATCCATATGGATATAGAAAGCTATTCATATTTAATGAGAGTAATTGCAGATACTATTTCACACTGGATGCAATAATGAAATTTGTAGAATAGACTTCAAGAATTGGGTACTCCAGCTTAGTCATCCCCCCAAAGCTGGCACAGAGGTGTCATTGGAATACAGGGGCTAAAAGGGCCTCCATAATATGCTCTCTATGCAATGTCATTATGGAGTTCCACGATGCAAGGAGTCTAAGCTGTTTTTTCAGTGACTTGCAACATGTTCTCACGATGAACTCCTGTAGGCATTGTTTGCAGTTTGCATACGCAGTTTATTATTGTCTCCTCTAGTTTATGAAGCATTTTATTAAAATTATTTTGTAGAGAAAGCCTGATGCTCATTAGACTGACATGTTTTAAAATTCTCTCATTAAAATTGAAGGCTGATTAGTATTCACACAGAGATTTCAATGCATAGTAGTCATTGGGCAGTATGATTTATAGAATAGCCGTGCTCACTAAGACTTCACATAAGTTGCAAATCCCCCAGTTGACTGATTCACTGGTTTTAACTCTGTGCCTCTGTTTGGACAAGCAGCAGCCAACCTACATTTCATTGTGCATTTTGCACTGATCGTCATCAGCACTTAAAACCCTTTGTTATGCCATAAGAATTTGTTTTTTCTTACTTCTGCACCTAAATATTATTATATGACGTAAAATGTATAAGGTAATAAGTAGAATCAAACTAATGGCCTGTAAGCAATTTCAGTATATAAAGTGGCCTTCCTATGTAAAACTCAAAAGACATTCTGGGCTTCTAACTCAGTCAGTATTGCCTCCATGATATTAGTCATTGACCAACATCTTGCTCAAGAAAATCCATTCATCGAGCTAGGAGAATTTCACTGAAAGTATGCATGGATATATTTGCCTCACATATAAGGGATAGATGTATTCCACTTCCAGTTGTAAAGCTCACAGTACATGTAATTCTTTATTGATATCTGTTTATTACCAATACCACACCACATAGTTATATAATGACTGTAAACTGTACATTTGGAAGAATGAAAGATACATGAAAAATCCTGGTACGGAGATTACATATGAATGATGAATTTAGCCCATCATGATGCATCCTCTAAGAGCAAAGAAAGAACATTTTATGCAGAGAGAAACAGAAGAGCAGATTTGCTAGACAGATTCATCAAGCTAAAAAAGAGGCTTTGGTGGAATGGACATAATCTAGGAGCTCCTACCTGCTCATGGACATAGTTTAGGAGCTACATAGTGCTTAGGTCCTCAGATTAGGGACAACTTATTTTTAAAAAGTGTGTGTATATACGTATGCACAATGATTGCAGAAGGGTACTTCTATTAACGTATGTGATATCTGTGATTTATGTGATATAGCACTGTTCGTGTGGTTCCAGTAGTGTCCTTAGTTTCAGTATTGATGTGTGTTACATTATGAGGGAAATTACAAATATAAAAGCTCAGGACCATAAATGCCAAGGCATTTTGAATACCTTTTTTCTTAGTAAGCATATAATAATACCTCATGATGAACACTGTTAGCCTTGGTGAGAATTTAGCCATTATAAAAACCTAGACGCTTAACTACAGGCCTGGAAGCACATAAGCATAGTGATGTAAAGCACGGGGCATTATACAGGAGGGTTACAGTTTTAACATTTCATATTTACAGAAAAACCAATGTAATGTTCAGTCTCTAATATGGCCGGTCTATTGAGCAGTAGTGGAGGGTTTAAAAAAAAAAAAAAACACATCCAGCATCATGGTAGAGGACAGCAATGAAGAATGAGGTAAAACTGGTGAACTCGAAAGATATGTGAATTTGTCCTACATTTGAATAACAAAGTGCAATATCTGGCTCTTTATCACCATTTAAATGGTCAGAATGAGCGGAGAGCACCGATAAGGCCCATCACCTTGGTTGCCAGCAACACAGTGCATGATGCCAGAGAGAGGATTACACAAAACTTGTGTTAGGACAGGAGTGCTTCCATCTTTATGTTTCTAAAAACCAACTCTGTTCAGTAAACCCATTTCCAAAATGTATCTAATAACACACACTCAAAAGCTAGGCAGGTTACCTAACAAAAAGAAAAAAAAATTGTGGATTCCAAGTTATGCAAGTCATGGCACATTACTGAAGGAGTCAGCTGTGGTACCAGAAAGAGTATAGTTATGGTAGTGAGTACATTAGCACCAGCAAAGAGCCAGTCTAGTATATATCTGTTTTCCTGGTACTTTGGGTAGGTTAGGTTTTTCTTGCATACTTTAATTTAATACACATGTTGTTGTTTTGCACTTAAGGTCAGACTACAGTACGTTAGCTAGGCAACATTTGAGATACAAGAAATATAGATATTTCGCTTGGGAACAGCGTATTGCAGTGACGACAATACTCCAGAGGTTTTTTTCAATCTATGTTAACTACCAAATAGAATAATAATAATAATAATAATAATAGAATATCTATAAATTAGGATAGAATGGAATATCTATAACCCCCTGAAATACTAGGAGTTGGGGGATACTTTGACAACCTCAAAAACCACCTCCTGCTACAACAGCATCTATTTGAAGAGAACACACTATCTAAAAGCAGACAGTACAGGGGGCGTGGGGATCCTGTCAATCTGAGCTAAGGCCAGTTATTGCTACAAAAGCTGTAAAATAACAAACCCCCTATTTTAAGCCCTCTGCTTACAAAAGATGTTTGTCTTAGAGCTTCTGGCTCTGTGTTGCAGGCTCCTGGTTTACCTTTTTTTCCCCCTCTTGTGATGACATTGTTTTTCTTAAGAAGTATGTTTCTATTGCCTGAATTACATTAACTGTGTTCTAGTACTGTGTTGATGAGCTCAGTGTGCAAGTAGGTAATAAAACTCTGGACTCCTTACATCAGTCACCTCTGAACACTGTTTACACGGGATTGTCACTATGACAAATTACTTCATGCCTATAGGGAGGGAGAACAATCTTATCCCTGTATCTATTTTATTTCTACAGCTGAAATGCCAACCTGACTAATAAAACTGAAAAATCATCTGCTGCGCTAGGAACTGTCATTCACATCATCCATCCTCAGAGTCCCCTTCAGTGTTTCCTGGCACACAGCCTTCACCTGGCCAAGGCAGAAACTTCACAGAAAGAGACTGACCAAGGAAGTAATCTGGATTTATCAAAGAGGTAGACACAGGCAGGACTCAGAAAAATCCCTGAGGAATCATAGGCACAGCAGTGGCCAGCATAGGCCAGGGTTCTTGTGGTGAAACAGGTTCAAGGCCTTACCAGAGACCATGGAATCTAGGTAGGCTGGAGAATAGTAACGACACACTGCTGGACCTCAAAAATTGCAGGCTACAGCCCTTTTTTGATGGATGGCTAGTATGGAAAGGGATAGCAGGACACCACAGCTTCATTGACCTTTCCCAAACAGCAGCTACTGTTGCTGAACTTTGCTTGTAGTGGTACCCAAATATCAGCAACCTTCCCCTTTCTGTGAGCAGCAATTATGTAACCATTTCAGCATGCATTTAAAGTGAACAGCTACTGGGAATCACCAGAGTTAGGAGCCGTAAGGAGCAGTAATGCCGTTCTGGTAGTGATACACGTGGCTGTGTGTTCAGTACCCGCGTGGCTTTGGTGGGCCACCGCACTGAGAGGCTAAAATAGCCAGCCTATGCTGGTCATTATTTGGATTGCCAATCCATTAATTTGAAAGAATGTTGCTTACCTCCTACTCACTGCAAATTCTAGTTCATTTCTATATTTTTGGACAGCATTTCCAGCAAATAATGTTAAGTGCAGCCTTCAAGCAAGACAGAGCCAAATCTACAATATCAGGGATGGATGCAGCATGATGGTAGCACAATCTGAGAGCTGGATGCCTGTCTGAGATAGATCTGTCAGTCCCAAGTAACTGTCCAGCATACCTAGTTCTCAGTGCTTCTCTGTGCATAAGAATGGTCCTTCAAGCCACTAAGAGCCCATCCTGCTCCCCTCGGCCTTCATGCCTCAGATCTGTGTTGCTCTTGTTCTGGAACAAATTTGTTCCTTCAACCTCAGTTGTCTTTTGCCATTCATATAGTTTATCCTTATGATAAGGATAGGATACAGCTCCCACTCTGATGTGGCGTTCCCGAGGATCAGGAATAGGATTTCTTTCCCAGCACGTTGAGGACCAGCTCACTTTTCTGCCTGCTTCCTACCCAGGTGAAGTCTAAGGGGGCTCTTTCACACTAGACTTGATCTATATGTTTACAGCTCTACTGCGTGAAAGCGCTATTCAGCTTACT